ATCCACTTGATCTTTCTTTCCCTTGTGGTTAATCTGGCCGGGTTGTGTCCACTTTCAAGTCCTTAAAGAACCAAGTTTAGACTTCATTTTTCCTGCTGTGCTTATGATTCCTACTTCTGCAACTTCTGGTCCTATATTTTCTTCTACTTTATTGAGCTTATCCTGCTGTTCTTTTTCTGACTTGTTAGGTGCTTAATGCCTTTTAGTCTTTCAGGAAGCACTAAGACTGAACTTCCTGCAAACACAGTCATTCCTCAGTGCTCTGGAGCAGCTGGCTTCAGGACCCCATGTGCACACCAAGAGCAGGGGACACTAAAATCCCCTACAGAAAATGGTGTACCCTGAACAGAGCCCACACAGTGTTCCTGCACTCTGTGAGTCATCTCTGGATTACAGGGTAAACGTTATGCACATAGCTGCTACCCACATTGTGCAGGGAATAATGGCAAGAGGGAAAATCCTACAGGTTCAACACAGATACTATTTACCTTCAAATATTTTCTATACGCGTGGCTGAGTCTGGAGATACAAACCATGTGGACCTTGGCCTGGATACGCACCCTGTCCCGCTGTGTCCCTGGAGTTTAAATATGCAGCACTGTCATTGTATCTCTGTTGGACATATTTTCTAATTTACATTATTATTCCATCTTGGCCCATGACTTATCCAGAAGGTCTTGCCCTCAAAGGTGCCGACCCCACCCTCTGCTCTGAGCACTCCTGCTCACTACACCCGCCCCCAACGAGCTTTCACTCCCCAGTTGGCCACAATGGCCAGGGCTGGGCCAGGCTGAAGCCAGGAGCCAGGAGTTTCTTCTGGGTCTCCCATGTGTGTGCAAGGGCCCAAGCACCTGGGCCATCTTCTGCTGCTTTCCCAGGCTATTAGCTTGGAGCTGGATGGGATGTGGAGCAGCTGGGACACAAATCAGCACCCACGTGGGATGCCTGTGCTGGAGGAGGCTTCACACTGGCCCTTGCCTCTTGATGCAAGGACTCCCACAGACTGCCAGAACCTGTTTTGCAGGTGGAGGTGAACCTGCTGGATTCTTCCATTCCTGATCCAGACAACTCTAAGGTGGGGTCCACACTACCCCCAGAGCTTCCCTGCAGGAGTGAGCCAAAAGTTCGATCCATGGAACTGCTGATAGCATCTTCCTTCCTCACCACCACATTTGCAAGAAGACACACTTGAGCCACAGCCTGATCCTAATACAGCTGGCCCCAGTTGGTTCCATGGAAGCACTCTCAGGATGGGGCACATGGGCACTGCTCGCTGGCCAGACTCTCACTCTGTTGGTGTGAGTGAGGTGGCAGCAACTCCTGGGGTGCTACTAGTGCTGATATCAGGGGTGCTGTGGCACAATGGGTTAAGCTGCCACTTGCAACACCAGCACCCTGGCTGCTCCACTTCCGATCCACCTCCTTGGTAATGTGCTTGGGAAGGCAGCAGAGGACAGCCCAAGTGCTTGGGTCCCTGCTGCCCATGTCGGAGACCTGGAAGAAACTCTTGGTTTTGGCCTGGTCCAGCCCTGGCTGTTGCAGCCATTTGGAGAGACAAGCAAAACACAGCCTAGCTAGTTGGATAGAATCACCACAGTGCGCAGCAGGGCTGAACTAGCAACCAAGCACACAGACCCACAAGACCCTTAGTGACAGCTCACAGACCATGGCTCTCCTAGAGCAAAGCAGGGAACACAGAGGGTGGCCAACGGCCACTGCCTGATGTGTATGGGGTCAAAGTGGTCAGCATGGACGACCAGAAGGCTCACGCAACACTGCCATGGACAACCACGCCCTTGCAAGTTTCCCAGCCACAGGCAATTTTCAGAGCCAAAGCCCACAGCTTACAGGAGAGAAGGACCCTGAATCACGGGACAAATAGATCCAACTCCTTTTCTAGAGAGAAGAATCCCTGGGTATTTTAAAGGCTGCTGGAAACTAGGTCCAAGCCGACATCAACATTGGGAGGCTGAAATGGTGCTGGGCCCAATGGCAGAGCATGGACACAGAGAGGCCAGGCCGCCTCCCAGGAGGCCCAGTGTGTCCACCAGCCCCGCCCATGTCCTAGATATGTCTTCAGGGGCAAATACAGCTGGCAGAACCCTGGTTTCTTGGCAGGTGGACTATGGGTCACCACACAATAGCAAAGGCCAAGCAGGCTCCTGGACACCAATGCCCCAGCCAAAGTGCCCAATCACACAACTGCACCCTGTGTACAGCGGAGAAATCAGAGGTGGTGATCCACAGCTCACCCTCACTTGGCTCAGCAGTGCTGCTCGTGCAGGAAACCAGGGTCACAATGGCTGGCAGACCAGGCCAAAGCAGGGTCAGGGACTCGCTGCTGCATGAGACCTGACCTGCTCTGCCTCTGGACCTCGGGATACAGCTGCAGGCCGGGTGAACACATGTTCCCCAGGCCCATGGCTCAGGGGGTCAGAAGCAGCTTGCGCTCCCTTCTGACAACTGTGGCCTGGCCCCTGGCCCCTGACTGTCCCACGATGCTGGTGACAGGTAGGACTGGGGCGCAGGACCTGATGCGCCACGCGCACTCCAGGGCTGGGGTGATACATCTTGTAAGGATTTGTGCGCCTGCCACATTGGGGATGGAGCTCTGAGGCAAATCTACGTGGTGCTATCATCGGCCCTGCAGCTTGGGCCACAAGCCCCCGCTGCTCCCACGAAACCAGACGTGGGGGGGGGGGGGTGAAGATGCTGCACAGCCACCAGGCAGCAGGGAAGGCAGAAAAGCGGCACCAGTGAGAGGGCCAATGCCTCGCTCCTGGCCCCCATGGGAGCTGCAGGCCATACCAGTGTGTAGGACCTCAGAGTGTCCCCTCGCAGTGGTGAGTGGCCATACTCCCTGGCAGCTCTGGGAACAAGGAGATGGGCCCCTAGCACCAAACCTAAGCCAGTATAGAGGGCTGGCCCAGCCCTCCCACTGCACATCTCGGCCTCCTCAGCTTGGCCCTGCTGCTGCCTGGTGGGGGGTTTGCTACACTAGAAGGAAATACTCGTGCCCGGCTATGGGTGGGCTGGCTGCACTGGTACAGGTCTCCCTAGGGTCCCTGCAGGGCAATCTGAAAAACAGAGGTGAGGCAGAGCTCTGGGCAGTGTCCCTGGGCAGCCCCTGCTCAAGTGGACAAATAGGCTGCTCAGGTCAGGCTAAGCATGGCAGTATCCTAGGCAGGGCAAATGGGGTCTGGGGAGGAGGCACCCAGATGGGCCCTGGGCATGGGCCCCGTGTGCAGATCTACCTACTGCAGCCGACTCCCACCAGGGAGCACTGAAACCCGTGTTGGGATGAGCTGGCCCACAGATTGTCAACCAGGTGGGTCCTCACCAGTCCCCTCATTTACAGAGTAGACTCCTGGATGGAGTGACTGTGGTGGCCAAGAACCTCTCTGCAAGGCCAATGCTAACCATGCAATTGACAGGCCGTGAGCAGAGGACAATCCTCGGCCTCTGTGTGTGACTGGGCTTCATGGGGCTGAAGTGACCCCACAGAGGACAGGATGCAGCCATAGCCCAGGCGTGGGTCTGCCTTTCCTGATACAGCGCCTTGGTTGGCACTGGTGTCTGAGGGCTCAAATCAGAGACTGCCCAACATGGAACTCCATGTGACATCAACTTGGGATGTTCACAGGGCCCACCAGTGTACACCATACCACACTGCCCAGAGGTGCCAGCCCTGACCACTGGCAGGGGCAGGGGGAAGTCTGGGTGGGAACTCAGGGGTTCACTGGAACCTTTTTGGACACTTCCAGGTCCCGTCTGGACCGTGATCAGAGGGTTACGCAACCAGGGTCAGACAAGGGAATGGCAGGCAGCAGCCTGGGCTACTGTGAGGGCCTGGTCACCTCATCAGGCCAGCAACCAGAGTGGTACAGGCTGGCCACAGGTCAGAAGGGTAGTGGAGCAACAACATGGACGTCAGCCCCCCAGGACCCACACATCAGTGGAATCTCCGGCTTGTCTCCCAGAGACTGACCAGAACCACCCTGAAGAAGGAGCAGGATGAACACCGTGTGAGGAGTGGGCAAAGCTGAGCAGGGTCAGGCAAAAGCCCTGGGCCTCCCACTTGGTCCTATTACAGTGGTGTACAATGGTCCTGGAGTCCCAACAGCTGGGGCTACCAAAGCCTACTCCACCTGCATGCAGGGAGCCAGTGGTTCAGGATCAACACAGCAGGTACACCCTTTACCCCAGCAGCCACACAGGTAATAGTGCAGCTCCTGTCCCCATCGAGAGGGCTCCAAGAAGTGAGCAGTCCTTGTCTCCAGAGGCCCCCAGGGGATGACCTGCATCCATGTCCAGGACTGGGCCCCTTCCTGTCCCCAGCCTGCTTCCCATACCCCTGCCAGCTTTTCCTGGGAACGCTTATCAAGAAACAGCTTTCACAGGAATCCTCACTTCAGTGCAATTCCTAGAGAACCCAACTTAAAACCAACAGTGAGATTTTCTGCCACTTATTTCCCAGTGTGTTAAACCTAAAGAACGCTGCTTTGTGATTTTGATTCTTTGGAATTTGCGGAGACGAGTTCATGTGCCCAGCACCGGTCAGTTTTTAGGAGTGATCCATGTACGTGAGCTAAGAATGAGCATCTCCAGAGACAGTACATCCACCTGCATCAACAGACCTGACGTGCGAAACCTAATTCCTCACTTATTTTGGTTTATATATTCTGATACCGAGTTGTTAGAGGCACAAAGGTAAAGGATTCCTGTCTCTCCAGTCAGCCGTCGCCACACAGCTCTGGGTGGTCCCAGACCACCAGCCTGGAAGGCCTTTGGGAACCATTCTCTCACCCAAGGAAGAACACCTGCCAAGAGCACAACCAGCCCCTGAGCTCCAGCTCTGGAGAGTGGCTCCATCTCTCCAGGGTCTCCTGGGGAACCATGGACCACGATAGCAGAGGCAGGGCCTGGGGATGCACTGAGGGGAGCACCTTCTGGAAGGAAACCACTCTGGGGCCCTGGAGGGAACAGCAAATGCTACTCACCGCAATCTCTGTTACCAAAATATCAGTAATACTTCCCAACACCGTGACAAAGTCAAAGACATTCCAGGCATCTCTGAAATAGTTCTAAGGAAAAAGAAAAGGTGGTTAGTACAGGCAGTGTTGGTACAGTTGGTACAGTGAGGCAGGGGTTGTGAGGGCTCTGTTGAGCCAGGAGCTGATCAGGACAGGGCTGAGGGCACAGGACAGACAAGCCACTCCTGGAGGCACGGCACACGGCCAGTGACAGCAACACCACAGACATCTCTGGGCTAGGGCAGGTACAGAACCCAGAGCTGTGTGTCTAGAGAGGAGGGGCCTGGCCCCGCCTGCCTCCTGGGACCTGGGCTGGGGACAGAGTCAGTGCAGCTGCAGACGGCACCACATGTGCGCTGGGGGCTGGGAGATCCCAGCTGCACCCTGCACAGAAGGAGCCAGGATGCAGGCCACCAGGGGCAGGGAAGGAGCCGCGGCACATACCAGCACCCCGAAGGCGATGATCTTCAGCACACACTCCATGGAGAACATGGACGTGAACACGATGTTCAGGCATTTCAGCATTAGCTCATACTCGTACGGCGCATCGTAGAACTGCCCGGGGAAAGAGGCCATCCATCCTGGGCCCAGTAGCCCCAGGACGCCCTGCCCAGAACCACCAAAGCCTCCTGCCCGAGTACAGGGGCCAGACGAGACTCCACACCAGCCCAGGCAGGGGATGCCCCTCCCTGCTCTCCCTCAAGGTCTCCAGCACCTTCTCACTACCTCAGCCTATAGACCACATGGAGCAGCGGGTCCCACGGCACCAGTGGCTGTCTCGGCCTCAGCTGCCGCTGCCGCCTGGGGGCTACACGCACCTTCATCATCAGCACCACAGTGTTGAGGGCGATCATAGCCATGATGAAGTACTCAAAAGGTGGGGACACCACGAACGTCCACGTCTTATACTGGAACGACTGCTTGTTCTGGGGCATGTACCGCGTCAGGGGTCTGGCGCTGATGGCAAAGTCGATGCAAGCCCTCTGCACGGGGAGAAGGGAGCACCAAGGCACTGGGAGCCCGCCGCCTCCTGCGCACTCACCCACCTTCCCTCACCCTCACGGGCAGCCTGAGGGCAGGAGGCAAGCTGAGGCAGTGCAGGACTCCCCCACCCAACCCAGCCTCTCGCTCCACGGGGGAGGAGGCCCTGCCCATGCTGGCGGCCAATGGCGGCGGTGAGGAACCCCCATGCCGTGGTCTACTCCCATCCCAGCAGCCGCACGGCACCCACCTACCTCGTTCTTCTCCAGGCTGCACTCGGACATCACCTTGTCCCCCTGCTCCTGGAAGGTGATGATGATCAAGGCCACGAAGATGTTGACAAAGAAGAAGGGAAAGACCACAAAGTAGACCACGTAGAAGATGGAGAGCTCCATGCGGTACCCGGGGCTCGGGCCCTGCTCCTCGTAGGTGGCATCCACAGAGTGTTTCAGCACCCTGGGCCGGGCGGAGAAAGGCCTCGAGACCCGCACCACAGGGACGGGGCGGGGGTGCCCTGATCACACCACAGGGATGGGGCAGGGGGCCTTAACCACATCACAGGGAGGGGCAGGGGGGGTCTTGACCACACCACAGGGACGGGGCGGGGGTGCCCTGACCACACCACAGGGATGGGGCAGGGGGGCCTTAACCCCATCACAGGGAGGGGGCAGGGGGGCCTTGACCACACCACAGGGAGGGGGCAGGTGGGGCCCTGACCACACCACAGGGATGGGTGAGGGGGCCTGACCACACCACAGGGATGGGGGGGACCCTGACCGCACCACAGGGTCATGGTGGGGCGGGGGAGGCGCCCTGATTGCACCACAGGGATGGGCGGGGGCCCTGACAGCCTGCCTGCTATAGGGAGCACTCACATGGGCCACCCTTCCCCTGTGGACACCGTGAAGAGCGTTAGCAGAGCCCAGAGCACGTTGTCATAGTGGAAGTCATATTTCTTCCACTGCCTCGGTTGAGCTTCCACTTCCTCCTTCTCATAATCCAAATACTGACCCCTGGGGACACGAGCAGAGGGGGCTGCAGGTTAGAGGCGAAGGCTCCAAGTGGAGCATGCGGCCATGGCCAACTGATATGGGAGGGGCACTGAGACCCTTCCACGGGAGAGGACTGCAACGCCAGGCACTGGGGCAGCCGCAGCCACTCCTTCTGGAAGCAAAGGGATTAAGTTGGACCCCACCCCGCTCCATACAAAAAATGAGTCTGAGCCAGATTAGACACCTAAACATAAATACCTAAATGCTAAATGTATAGAAATCTTAGAGGAAAACATCAGGGCAAATCTTTACGACCCCGTTAGGTGGGAAGGGATTTTTAGGACACCAAAATCATGAGCGGAAAGAGGGACATAGAAACAGTTGCCTCAGAACTGAAAGCTTCTGTGCTTCAAATGGCACCTCCAGGAAAGTGCACAAGAGCCTGCAGGTGCAGGGCAGAGCGGCCCAGCTGTCTGTGATGCCACTCGCTTGCCACACAAAGCCACCAACCAAACCTTGGTCTGCTGCAGGGCTACTGAGTTTTCCACTTTAAGGTGAACTATTAGTTACCACATATCCGAAAAAACATATGGTATCTGTCTTTTTTTTTTTTTTTTTTTTGACAGGCAGAGTGGACAGTGAGAGAGAGATACAGAGAGAAAGGTCTTCCTTTTTTGCCGTTGGTTCACCCTCCAATGGCCGCCGCGGCCCGCGCGCTGCGGCCGGCGCACCGCGCTGATCCGATGGCAGGAGCCAGGTATTTATCCTGGTCTCCCATGGGGTGCAGGGCCCAAGCACCTGGGCCATCCTCCACTGCACTCCCTGGCCACAGCAGAGAGCTGGCCTGGAAGAGGGGCAACCGGGACAGAATCCGGCGCCCCCACCGGGACTAGAACCCGGTGTGCCGGTGCCGCAAAGCAGAGGATTAGCCTAGTGAGCCGCGGCGCCGGCCGGTATCTGTCTTTTGGGACTGGCTTATTTCACTAAGCATAATGGTTTCCAGTTGCTTCTGTTTAGTTGCAAATGATAGTATTTCATTTTTTTCCTATTGAATAGTATTCCATAGTGTGTACACATACACCAAAATTTATCCAGTCATCAGCTTATGGACAACTGGGTTGATTCCATATATTAGCTATTGTGAATTGAGCTGCAATAAACACAGGGGTACAGATAAATCTTTCATATACTGATTTCATTTCCCTTGGAAAAATTCCCAGGAGTGGGATGGCTGGATCATATGGTAGGTCTATATTCAGATTTCTGAGGTATCTCCATATTGTCTTCCATAGTGGCTGCACCAGTTAACATTTCCAAAAGTAGATTAGGGGACCTTACCAGCATTTGTTGTTTGTTGATTTCCGTATGAAAGCCATTCTAACAAGGAGGTGAGGTGAAACCTCATTTTGGTTTTGATTTGCGTTTCCCTGATGGCTATTGAACCTGAGTATTTTTCATGTGTCTGTGGGCCATCTGCATTTCCTCTTTTGAAAAATGTCTGTTCAGGTCCTTTGCCCATTTCTTAACTGGGTTGTCTGCTTTGTTGCTGAGTTCCTATAGATTCTGGATATTAACCCTTTATCAGTTGCACAGTTTTTAAATATTTTCTCCCATTCTGCTGGATGCCTCTTCACTTTGCTGAGTGTTTCTTCTGCAACGCAGAAGCTTCTCAGCTTGATGTAAATCCCACTTGTCAATTTTGGTTTTGACTGCCTGTGCCTATGCAGTCTTTTCCAAGAACTCTTTGCCTGTGCCAGTGTCTTGCAGGGTTTCCCCAATGTTCTCTAGTAATTTGATGGTACTGGGTCATAGATTTAGGTCTTTGATCTGTTTTGAGTGAATTTTTGTGTAAGGTGTAAGGTAGGGGTCTTGCTTCATACTTCTGCATATGGAAATCCAAAGAGACTGACCTTGATCCAGAGATTGATTTTAGCTCCTTTGACAAAGATAAGTTGGTTATAGATGCATGGATTGATTTCTGGTGTTTCTATTCTGTTCCATTGGTCTATCCATCTGTTTTTGTTCCAGTACCAGGCTGTTTTGATTGTAACTGCCCTGAAGTATGTCTTGAAATCTGGTATTGTGATGCTTCTGGCTTTGTTTTTGTTGTATAAGATTGCTTCAGCTATTAGGGGTCTCCTGTGTTTCCATAGGAATTTCAGCATTGTTTTTCCTATTTCTGAGAAGACTGTCCATGGTATTTTGATTGGTATTGCACTGAATCTATAAATTGCCTTTGGAAGTAAGAACATTTTGATGCCACTGATTCTTCTAATCCATAAGCACAGAAGATTTTTCCATTTTTTGTCTTTTTCTATTTCTTTCTTTAATGTTTTGTAATTTTCATAGAAGAGATCTTTTATGTCCTTGGTTAAATTTATTCCAAGGTGTTTAATGTTGTTTTAGCTACTGTGAATGGGATTGATCTTAGAAGTTCTTTCTCAGCTGTGGCATTATCTGTGTATACAAAGGCTACTGATTTTTTTGTGTTAGTTTTATATCCTGCCACTTTACAAAACTCTCTTATGAGCTCCAATAGTCTCTTAGTGGATTCTTTTGAATCCCCTATATATAGAATCACATAATCTGCAAATATGATTTGACTTCCTCCTTCCCAATTTGTATCCTTTTGATTTCTTTTTCTTTTTTTTTTAAAGATTTATTTTATTTATTTGAAAGACAGAGTTACAGAGAGAGGTAGAGACACACACACAGAGAGAGAGAGAGAGAGAGAGAGCAAGCGAGCTTTCATCCGCTGGTTCACTCCTCAGATGGCCACAATGGCCAGAGCTGCGCTGATCTGAAGCCAGGAGCCAGGAGCTTCCTCTGGGTCTTCCACGTGGGTGCACGGGCTGAAGGACTTAGGCCATCTTCCACTGCTTTCCCAGACATAGCAGAGAGCTGGATTGGAAGAGGAGCAGCCGGGACTCGAACCGGCGCCCATATGGGATGCTGGAGCTTCGGGCCAGGGTGTTAACCCACTGTGCCACAGCACTGGCCCCTGATTTCTTTTTCTTGCCTAATGGCTCTGGTTAAAACTTCCAGGACTTTATTGAATAGCAATGGTGAGAGCAGGCATCCCTGTTTGGTTCCGGATTTCAGTGGGAATGCTTCCAACTATCCCCATCCAATAGGATGCTGACCGTGGGTCTGTCATAAATTGCCTTGTGTTGAGGAATATTCCTTTTTTATATATATAAAGATTTACTTATTTGAAATCAGAGTTACACAGAGAATGGAGAGGCAGAGAGAGAGGTCTTCCATCCGATGGTTCACTCCACAGATGGACGCAATGGCCAGAGCTGTGCTGATCTGAACCCAGGAGCCAGGGTCTTCTTCTGGGTCTCCCACATGGGTGCAGGGGCCCAAGGACTTGGGCCATCTTATACTGCTTTCCCAGGCCATAGCAAATAGCTGGATTGGAAGAGGAGCAGCCAGGACTCAAACCGGCGCCCATATGGGATGCCGGTGTTTCAGGCCAGGGTGTTAACCCGCTGCACCACAGCACCGGCCCTGAGGAATGTTCCTTCTATACCCAATTTGCTTAAGGTTTTCATCATGAAAGGGTGTTGTATTTTATCAAATGTTTTCTCTGTGCCTTTTGAGATAATCATATGGTTTTATTAAGTTCATTGCTGTGATGTTATCGCATTAACTGATTTGTAAATGTTGAAACATTCCTGCATACCAGGGATAAATTCCACTTGGTTCAGGTAAATAATCTTTTTGATATGCTGTTGGATTCTATTGGATAGTATTTTGTTGAGGATTTTTATATCTATGTTCATCGGGGAAATTGTTCTGTGATTCTCTTCCTCTGCTGTATCTTTTTCAGGTTTAGGAATTAAGGTGATGCTGGCTTCATAGAAAGAAATTGGGAGGATTCCCTTCCTTTCAATTGTTTTGTGAAGGTTGAGAGGAATTGGAGTTAGTTCTTCTTTAAATGTCTGGTAGAATTCAGCAGTGAATCCATCCGGTCCTGGGCTTTTCTTTCTTGGGAGCATCCTTATTACTGATTCAATTTCCATCCTGGTTATTGGTCTATTTAGGTTTTCTGTGTCTTTATGGCTCAATTTTGGTAGGTTGTATGTGTCCAGGAATTTATCCATTTCTTCCAGATTTCCTGATTTGTTGGCATACAGCTCTTTGTAGTAATTTCTGGTGGTTCTTTTTATTTCTGTGGTATCTGTTGTTACATTTCCTTTTTCATCTCTAACTTTATTGATTTGGGTCTTTTTTTTTTTTCTTTTTTGGTTAGTTGTGCCAGTGGTGTGTCAATTTTGATTATTTTTCAAAAAAAGAAGCTCTTTGTTTCACTAATCTTTTGGTTTTTTGGGGGGTCAATTTTGCTTGTTTCTTCTCTATTTTTAATTATTTCTTTTCTCCTACTAACTTGGGTTTGGTTTGTTGTTGTTTTTCTAGGCCCTTGAGATGCATTGATAGCTCATTTATTTGGTGCCTTGCCAATTTTTGATGTAGGCACCAACTGCTATAGATTTTCCTCTGAACATTGTTTTTGCTGTATCCTATAAGTGTTGACATGTTGCACGGTTGTCTTCATTCGTTTCCAGAAAATTTTTGATTTTTTTTTTAGATTTCTTCTATTACCCACTGTTCCTTCAGGGGTATGTTGTTCAATCTCCATGCATTTGCATATGTTCTAAAGATTCTTGAGTTACTGATGTCCAGCTTCATTCCATTGTGGTCGGAGAAGATGCATGGTATGATTTTGATTTTTTTGAATTTGCTGACTTGTCTTATGGCCTGGCCCGTGGTCAAGCCTAGAGAAAGTTCCATGCGCTGCTGAGAAGAATGTGTATTCTGAAACTGTAGGATGAAACTTCTGTAGATACCCTTCAGGTCTATAGTGTCAACTAACCGTTGTTTCCTTGCTGATTTTCTATGTGGTTGATCTGTCCATTGCTGAAAATGGTGTATTGAAGTCCCTTATTACTACTGTATGGGAGTCTATGTCTCCCTTTAGATCCATCAACATTTCTTTTAAATAGCCAGGTACCCTG